GGAAGTTACAACATGAATGTCCTGGTTGATACAGGACAAGCAGAGGGGCACGGCAATATTATGAGGACACCAAGAAGGCATGCCCAAATGAAAAATACGCTCAAGTCTTTAGAGATGCACTGAAATCAAAGGACTAGATAAAGAGTGTTTTAGCCAGCGGCCACTGCACATGTGGGAGAAGCTCACACACCTTGGCATCGTAGAAACTCCCGTATAGAGCAGGGAATGGCAAGGTGCGGCTGAGGAGGCTGTCCCGAGTTGGGTAGTGGAGTGAGGTCTCCATAGCTGTGGGGGAGCTGGACTTTTTTTCCCTGCTAGATTGCTCACAATGATGTGAGTGGAGGATACATTTAAGGGATCAAAACTGGAGACAGACACAGTTAAGAATTCAGTGTGAGTGGAGAGGTAGAGGGGTGGGTGGTGGTGGATAGAATGGAGATGGAAATGCTGGCAGAGCTCAGGAGGCTCCTGGCTGCCTCCACACATCAGTACTAGTACTGCGGCAGTTAGGGATAAGAGGTAAATTGTGGGACTGATACCTGATACCAGAAAGCTGAACTTTATTCCTTTAATACTGTAAAATGTTATTAACTATTTCCCTATCCTTTTTTTTTATAAACAGTTTGCTAGTCAGACACTAGCCTTTTCTTGATGAGTCATGGTCACTGTTATGAAAAGGGGAGCTAGCATGGAGCAAAGGGTCAAGACATAGTTTAGGTAACATCATGAGAAACTTTGCTGGACATCATAAGAGCGGGGTCACTCCCAGCTCCAGACTCACTCATCTGTGTGCTCACAGCACAGCCATGAAACCTCTGAGTGTTTGTTTTCTGCTTGGGTACCCACTTCCCAGCCTCCTGTAGAGATATGATGACGTAATGTGCGCGTGGGCTCGATAAAGCACCAGTCCCTGCACAATGAGGTGTTTTAATAGTTTCCCACAGTGGAGTGACAGCCGGTGTCTGTCTGATCTCACTGTCCTTCACGTCGAAGCTACCTGCCTTCTCTCCAAGAAACTTTCACCTGCTGTACTTTGCTCCTGACTAGACCACAGGTCAAACCTCTAAAGTATTCTGTTCAGTACAGTCCAGCGGGGCCCCTTGCAGAGCCCTGAGGACCTGGCTTTGATTCAATCTCTGTCAGCTATTTTTGGTTTTCAAAGGTCTTTTTCACTTCCGGATTTGCTGCTGCATTCCACAGAACTGAAATTGTCAGAGCCTAACTTCCAGTTAAGTGGGGTGTGGTGACTATGTTTTTGCATTGTCAAAAGAACCAGGCAGTTTTCACTCCTGTTCAGGTCTTTTTATCTCTGTGTAAGCAGTGTTCAATAATATCATATGCTGATTTACCCTCACCACTAAGCTAACCTGTATACCATGACTCACACCATAACATATATGAATAAAAATCCTTGACTGTAACTTTCTTTCTTTTGTGATGCTGGGAAATGACACTGGGCCTTCATGAATGCTAAACAAGTGTTTTACCACTGATCTCTATCTCCAGCCTTTATAAACTTTTAAAAAGTGGAGAAAAGGTTTTACTAAGGTGTCTAGATTGGCCTTGAACTTGTGATCCTCCTGCCTTAGTCTTATGGGTAGCTTGATTACAGTCTGGCCGTACAGCTCTTTTTGTAACAAAGAAGATTTATGACATTCTTTCCTTTAAGGATTTAGGGTTTCTGGTTTCTGTCTCCCCCTTTTGCCCTCTGAAGGGGTTCTTGACAGCATTCTGAGGGTTTCTGTCCTCTTCTCTTGCTGTTAATGTCTGAACTAAGAAAAGATGGGTTACATTTGTTTATGCTGCATTTGTTTGACTATGTAAAGATGTGTTGCTTTTATTTTACCTTGCTTGTCTAAGGCACCTGACTGGTCTAATAAAAAAGCTGAATGGCCAATAGCTAGGCAGTAGAGGGATAGGTGGGGTTGGCAGGCAGAGAGAATAAGTAGGAGGAAGAATCTATGCTCTAGAGAAGAGGGAACAAGGGAGAAAAAGAGGGAGGTACTGGGGGCCAGCCAGGCAGGCAGCCAGCTAGACACAGTGGAAGTGTGAATCCAGAATGAAAGAAAGGTAAAAAGCCCCAGGCGAAACACAGATGAAGAGAAACAGGTTAAATTAAGTTGTAAGAGCTCGTGGGACAAGGGTAAGATAAGACCAAGCACTCATAACTAATAAGAAGTCTGTGTGTCATGATTTAGGGGCTGGTAGACCCAAGAAAGCCCTCTGCACTTAGCCGAGCCCTATCCAAATGTTAGACTTACAAAATGATGAGATATAATCATCTGTTATTGTTTTTAGTGCCCTAAGTCTGGGTGTGCCCTATTATAACATAGTAGGTAACAGACCAAAATACAGAAAAAAGTGAAGTTTCTCACAACATTTTATGTGGGTGCAGGGAACTTCAGGAACAAGGAGAGCTTCCCCGATCCATATCAAAACAGTCTCAGAGAGTTACTGGAGTAGGGATATAGTCACTCACATTACTGGGGAAGGGATATGGTCACTCACATTACTGGAGTAGGGATATAGTCACTCACATTACTGGGGTAGGGATATGGTCACTCACATTACTGGAGTAGGGATATAGTCACTCACATTACTGGGGTAGGGATATGGTCACTCACATTACTGGAGTAGGGATATAGTCACTCACATTACTGGGGTAGGGATATGGTCACTCACATTACTGGAGTAGGGATATAGTCACTCACATTACTGGGGTAGGGATATAGTCACTCACATTACTGGGGTAGGGATATAGTCACTCACATTACTGGGGTAGGGATATGGTCACTCACATTACTGGAGTAGGGATATGGTCACTCACATTACTGGAGTAGGGATATGGTCACTCACATTACTGGAGTAGGGATATGGTCACTCACATTACTGGAGTAGGGATATGGTCACTCACATTACTGGAGTAGGGATATGGTCACTCACATTACTGGAGTAGGGATATGGTCACTCACATTACTGGGGTAGGGAGATAGTCACTCACATTGCTACTGATTAAAAGCCCACAGCCTAACAGACTTGAGAGAAGCAAGTAACTAAACTCATTTCATTCCTGTAAGAGTAGATGCTACTACTCAAATTATTGCACAGTTATCTTGGCAATACCGGGGAGAAGAGACACTCTGCTCTTCCACAGAATATGGATGGTCGTGGATGGGATTTGAGGTGAACGAACTGGTAAGGACGGCACAAGAGGCTCCAGAATGTGTCAGTGTGCACAGGTCTAACTCAGCTTCCCTCCAATGGGAAGGAGATAAATGAAAGATATCTTGATGGGAGGTGAACATGATCAAAATATACTGTGTACATGTATGCAATTATAAAAACAATAACATATTTGGGCCAGGAGAGGTGGCTTGGTGGTTAAGAGCACATATAGTTCTTGCAGGGGGCCTGAGTTCAGTTCCTAGCACCCAGATCACAACTGCCTGTAACTCCAACTCGGGGGATCTGACATCTCTGGCCTCTGAAGGCACTTGTACTCAATGTGTGTTATGGTGGAAACTTCACCCCATGGGAAGGGTGATAACTGCCAGAATGAAGGGAATGGAGAAGTGTCCTGATAGTAAAGAAAAAGCAAGGGTGAATGAGTGAGACAGGGTGGCCTTCCAGCCCCCTACCCACAGAGGAGATGGGAAAGAGAGACCGGGAAATCACATGCCTGTTTTATGGGGGACAGTTTAAATACCCTGTGGGAGTGGTCTTGAGGATTTCTGGGGGAGGCATCATCATTTGGCGGGCTTTCTGAGATGCAGCAGGGTTTGGAGGGAGATAGGGGATGAGGGCTTGGGTGGAACTTCCACCATAACATTCCAGACTCTTTGGATATATGGATGCCCGGGGCCGGGGTGAAGCTTCCACCCATAACAATGTGTATAACCCCTCTTCCCAAACATATAATTTAAAAATATAAAAAAACCCATTGTAGACATGAAACTATAATGAAAACAAGCCATATTGTATAAATGTATCCAATTGTAAAACAGATAATTTGGAGGGGTTGCTATATGATGGCCTGCAGTGTTGCAACACCGTATCCAACACTGAGGTTAGGGAAAATCAGAGAAACTGAGTCACAGAGAAGTTCCTTGCAAGGGCTGCTCATCAGCTGTGGACCTTGCAGTTCGGACACTGGCGCTAAATGAGAGATCACTTCTACCTATGTTCTGGAGGACAGCACACATGTAAGTTAGATCATTCTGTTAGTTCCTGGAAGCCCAGTTTCCAGCAATCCAGCCTTTGAATCTGACTAGTCATATTCTAGCACATTCTCTGAGGAGAGGAGAGGCTTGCTGTCTGCTATCTTTGACAAAGGTGGGCACAGAGAAGGGTCTGGCAAATAGTTCACAGCTCAGAAGAAGGCTTTCTGATGTGGTGGGGAGACTTCCAAAGAGGTCAGGTGTCTGTGTCTGGCCTTCAGCACTTACACGCATCAGGGTAGGGCAGCTGCTTCCTCTAAGTGGGTGGGGAAAGTCAGCAAGCCATGACCATGCAATGTGATGCTGCGTCATAAAAAAAAAAAAAAAAAAAAAAAAAAAAAAAAAAAAAAAAAACCAAACAAGCTGAGGAAAAGGTGCCACTGATCAAGGAGGAGGTGACAGGCATGGAGAGAGGAGGGAGAATAGACATTGGGGTTTCAGGAGTAAAGATAGGTGATGAGAAAAGATAAGACAGAATAAGAGAGTTGCCTGCGATGCAGCCTTGGGTCTTACTGAGCACGTGGGGGAGGTAGGGAAGACAGGCAGTCATCATGGAGGAAGCTTGCATTCTCAGCACCCTTTCCTTTTCTGCATCTCTGGGCCACTCCATCCTGCAGCAGAGGGTTGCCTTCTGGTTTCAAGGCACTGTTCCCAGCATCTCCCAGTCCAATCTACCTTTGCAACTGCTCTGTGCAAAGTGACCCCGGCACTGAGCATACCAGCACTCCTGACAGCCACAATTTGCCAATTGCTTCACGTACATTTTCTCTTTTGCCTCCCTAGAAATACTGAGGAAACACAAGGGAAACATAAAGGAAAAGGTAAGCCTTTTGTTTAAAAACAACGTCAACAACAACAAAACTAAGACTTTCAAGACATCCCATGCAGGTTAGAGGGAAGGCCTGGTTCTTGGACTGTTGCCAGGACAGCCAGGGTCAGAAACAAGGGCTTCAGTACTGTTGGCAGCCCCACGTGTATGCCTGTAGTATCATTTACCCTTTCTTTCCTGCTGGATAATGTGCGGGCCTCTCATTTAGGGAAGGAGGAAAGCTTTACGGAGGGGAGAGTAAAGCTGCCCTTGTGTCAATCTCTCCTCTGAGGGCATCAGCTCCCAGGATCTCTGTACAGGCTGACTCCAGATGGGACTGAGCTGCTGTGTTGGAATTAGCACAGGCATAGACAGGAGGTGTGAGCAGGTGGAGTAACTTGGGGCTTCTTGGCTCTCCAAGAGAAGTGCTGTTTGCTTCTCTGTTCACCTAAGAGCACTCACTGTGTGCTGGCGCTCTGCTATCTAAGGAGAGGCATGGACAGAGTAGGTAAAGGGAACCAACCTCTTGCCCTTAAGGAATTTTGCATTCTGATGAGGGATAAATAAATTTTTAATGGAAGAAAAAGCAAAATATATGATTATATTGTCAAATATTATCAGGTCTCAAAATAGATGTGATCCGTGTTATTTGGCTATATATTGTCAGGAGAAGAACTCAGGGGTGAATTGAATGGGCCAACATGCTGGGGCTCACTAGACTTTGGTAGGGCACTGAATGGTGGCTAGGAAATGGAAAGGGGAGGTATGTAGAGTGGGTAGAAGTCTCAACAAACCAAGGGGGAAATGAAGGATGGCTGAGAGCCTGAAAGGTGCCTGGCTGACTGAGTATGGGTGGGTAATCACAGACATGAAAACTCTGAAGTTAGATGTACTCAAGTTTGGGTCTGTCCCTATAAGACCTGTAGGAATTACCTAACCCTTCAGAGCCTCATTTTACCTCAATGTTTGTAGCTGAGTTTCAGGATTGTTTAAAGGCTTAGATATGAGAAAAGCAAAATCAGCTTTTCTGATGAGCCAAGTATGGAGTGTTGAGTTTCAGTCTAGTATGGGCTACATGAGATCCTGAAAACTTGTTTCAAATAATAAAACGGGCTAGAAATATGACTCATCAGTTAAGAGCATTGTCTGTCCTTTCTAAGGACCCAGGTTTGACTCCCTGCACCCGTATGACTACTTACAACCATTTTAACTCCAGTCCCAGGGATTCAATACCCTCTTCCAGCCTCTGTGGGTACCAAGCATGTGTGTGGACACAGACATACGTGCAGGCAAAACACGCATACATGCAAAATTCAACAAAGAGCTAGAGTTAGCTACTATTGCAATAATTTTGAAGATGGGGTTGCATGGGTGATGAAGCCCTGTCTTGCATCAGCTCTGTCTTCAGTCCTTACAGCTGGGCCAACTTGGACAATTTATTTACCTCATGCCTCAGTTTCTTCTTCTGAAAATAGCCGATGATGTCATCTCCCTTGCAGGGGGATTTGCTAAGATTAAATGGCACAGTCCATATGAGGCTCTTAGGGCAGGGCTTGGTACATAATGAGAGCTAATAGAGATATCGATGATAGCTAACCCTTCCCTAACCTTGCAGGATGTGGACTTGTGTAAGACCCCTCAGCCAGCATCCAGAGAGCCAGGAAGGGAGGATAGAAACTGCAGAGGCACTGCTTAGCTCCGAGCTGGAGCTACCACTCTCACTGCTGAAGCCCTTTGTTCTTTCAGCAGAAAGTTTGCCTGCCTGTGTTGTGGTAACTCCCTAGGAAGGCAAGGCTGGCATCTAACTCATCTCTTCAGAACCAGCACCTGACACCAGGTGACCCCTGGAAGGTGTGGAGAGGAGTGACTAGTGGTAAGGTTATGGGAGTCAGAGACTGGGGGGATGGGTTTAGTAGGGGAGACAGCACTGGGATTCCAGCCTGTGAAAGGAAGTTCCTCAATCTCTTACTCATGAACTGGCTTATGACCTAAGGTCTGGGTTCCTGTCCTGGACTTGCTTGCAATGAGTGAGGCCTGAGACATCCAGGAAGCCACAGTTCATAGAACACTTACATTCTCTGTGAATGCCAGGCAGTGATAAGAAGGTTGGTTGTGGTGGTGAGGATGAGGATGAGGATGAGGAGGCGGGTTAGGGTTAGGCCAGGAGAGATTCTTGGAAGAGATAGCCAGGAGATGCAGTAACTGCAAAGCAGGCAAGAATGGGGCAGAAGGCTGATGCCCCTAGTTGGGCTTACAGTACATTGATGCATCCCAGAAGCATGGGAGAAAGCTGCTCTGAGTGCCCAGAACAAGATCTGGAGGGAAAAGGAAAAAGAATAGTTCTTCTCATACCCAGGGCTATCTCACAGCCCAACTCCTCTGCTGTGGGGCTTCAAAGTCTGCCATGTGGATGACACTCACACCCCCTCCTTCCTACTCCAGTGTGGAGGAGGGACCAGCTCCCAGTGGGAGGAGCAAGGGAGCTGCCTGCCTGTCTGGTCCCTCATCTCAGCCAGACTGGGTATCTTCCTCTTAATTGCAGTCTTTTTCCTCAACAGACATCGCTTTCTCATCAGAGTCCCTTAAACCTCCCTTGGGGCTCCCAGCCATCTTCCTCCTCCACTGGCCCATAGCAGCTCTCATGGTCTCCCCTGAGATGGCCCACAGTGATAAAACCCTGGTAAGAGAGTCAGGAGTGAAGGGGCCAACTTTCTTCATCTTGGGCTTTCTTTCTCCTGGTTCCTATAATGCCCAAAACAAATTTCTCTCAGTGTCCCTCCCCAGGAACCCAGCTGCTCCACCCCTCCCCACCTTCAGGACTTGGGCTCTGGGTGGGGAGGCATAGCTCAGCCTGTGGGATTTCCCCAGTCCGCAGTAGCAGGAAGTCTGAGTTGGAGAGGGAAAGCCTGACTCTTGGCGGCTGTCCAGTCACTAAGCAAGACCAAAGTTCAGGGGAGAGGCCTGTTTCCCTGGTCAGCTGGGGATACACACTGACCTCTGCTCATCTGGATTTGGGGACTTGGGTGTCTGAGGTTGAAGGGCAAGACCAAGTTAAGGGGAAGGAAGTAGAGGAACTTGAGGCTGGAGAGAAACAGGAGACTGAGCCCTTCCCGCCTCTCTGGGTCTTGCTTTTGCTGTCCCTGATCCCTGTCCATGCCGTCATGTAGGCTGGTGACTTCTGGGGTAGGTGGTTTTCTCGGGCTGGACACCTGTGTCAGGTGAGACCTGGGGCTGATGAGGATGCAGGAGCACCCCACCCTCCATGCTTACAGAAACCCCAGTAGTGGTCCCTGAGAAGTAGGTTTGTGGACACAATCCCCATGCAGTTCAATTATCAGGCAGTGAGGAGGGCATCTTGAAACTGGCTTTTTCTGGTGTCTTATCTCCACTTTGGTGAGGCTGCATTAGAAGAAATGGTTCTTTTAACAGGGTGGTAGAGAAGAACCTCTTCTTCCAGGAAAGGCCTCATTGTCAATACTGACTCTTATTTAATCTCTCAGTCTCCTCTGTTCTTACCCACGACTCCCTTAGTTCTCTGGCTCCAAATGAGCCCCTGGGGACCTTCAGCAGCAAACACAACAGGGGAAGAGCAACAGCCAGTGATAGCCCTTGGGAAAGATGGAGCAGAAAACACTGGTGACAGTGCACATTCCCTGTCCCATCAGCCAGGCATGCCGCTTACACCCTCTAGGCCTCCTACTCGCTAAATCTCTTTTTAGAGGCTAGGCTTTCCCATTACCTATTCCAGAGCAAAGGTAAGAATGGTGCAAAGGGGGAGGGTGAGTATGAGGGAGAGCCTGAGTGGGTCAGCAGGTATTAAACTCTAGAAAAAAAAAAAAAAGGGTGACAGAAAGTGGCTATTGGTGTGCTTTAAAAGGAAAACATACATCTGGGTGGCGGTGGCACACGCCTTTAATCCCAGTACTTGGGAGGCAGAGGCAGGGGGATCTCTATGAGTTCAAGGCCAGTCTGGTCTATATGGGCTAGTTCCAGGACAGCTAGGCTACACAAAAGAAACCCCCCAAAATCATATCCCTGAGCCACTATCGCCCCCTGGTGGTGTGTTCCTCATGCTGGGTTCCTGGCCTTGTGATTGGACAACCCTTCCCCGGAGTGTGGACAGAGGTGGACAGAGGTGGAGATATCCAGTGATATGTGTAGGTAACTTACAAACAGAAGATGTGGCCAGAGAATGCTCTAGCTTACTAGAAATCATTGAAGTGATTGAACAGTGAGATATGCTGTTGCCTCTGTTACGTAAGAAGGACCCTAAAAGGGCTCTTAAGTGCCCGAAACCTGGGAATATACCTAGGAATAATCCTAAGGAAGAAGATTAAAATCTCAGAAACACACCCTGCTTATCCACAGTCTATTTTAAAGGCCTTTTGGATTTCGAAAAGTAGCATGGCACGAAACTAAGGGAGCAGCTTAGTTTCATGAAGGCAAGTAGTTAATCTACCAGACACACAGTCGGGACACAGACCACTGCCACAGCCAGGGCTATGCATCCCTTGTAAACCTCATCCCATAACCACTTTTTAAAATAGAGTTTAATCCCTTCAGAATGCAACCATAAACATGACACCTGAGCTTGTCTGAGGTGGGGGTCTTCACATGGGCAATTACTTTTGTGTCCCTTTCTCCCTTCACTCAGTGGCACAGGAGTTTGTCCCCTGTAACAGGCCTGGCAGAAATGAAGATAGTCTATAGTGATACTTGTGTCTCTCAGTCTGACTGTTCTATCAGAGGACTGAAACAATGGACTCCAAAGAAATGGGAGTTCCCTAGGTATCTCATGCTGGGAAAAGTAAAAGCCTCCAGTCGTTGGGAAACTTTTCTCTCAGAAAAGAGATCTCACACAGTTCTAACGAACTTGTCAAGCCATCTTACAGGATGAGACTGAAGGCTGGACAGTCATGGGTCAGTGATGGACAGGACCACACCTTTACCAGAACCGCATTGCTGTTCATATACTTGGCCTTCTATTTAAAATTTAGTTCTATTTCAGGACCTTGAAGATAGACTTGAGAGGGTTCCCTGGATCTCTTCGTCCCTCTTTCCAATGTGACCACATCGAATAAATCTCCCTTTTCTGTTATTTTAATTGACTTATTGAGGAAGGGTGGCTGGACCTGTTCTGGGCATGAGCTGTGACCCTCAAGTTTGATAGCACCATCTGTCTTGTCCTGTTGCTGGAGATCAGGTAGCCAGGGGGCTAGCTAGTGGCTGTGGCCACATGTGTTACATACCCAGTGGGTCACAGGCACTAACACTGGGCTCCTTCCTTCCTCTGTCTCATGGACACTGGGCAGCTCCCTCAGGATCCTCTCTCCTCCATGCAGCATCTGTCAACTCTCTTCCTGTTCCCAAGCACCCCCATCACCAGCCTGCAGTCCCCCTTCCTATCCTTGGGACCGCAAAGACAGAGCCCAGTCTTAGTATATTATTCTCTCTCCTGTCCACACACTTTGTCCTGCAGGCCATGAGGTCTACCTAGGACTTCCTTCCCTGAACAAGAACAAGGCAACCATGCTGACCCCACTCTGTCACCCCTCATTTCTTACTGAGGCCCCATTGCAAGGTATTAGTGCCTCATCTTCTTTCCCTCAATTCTTTCTCCATCCTCCCTGTGGATCTCATGGAGTTTGAAGGAATAGTCCAATCTTTTCTTTCTTTTTTTTTTCTTTTTTCTTTTTGGTTTTTCGAGCCAGGGTTTCTCTGTAGCTTTGGAGTCTATCCTGGAACTCACTCTGGAGACCAGGCTGGTCTCGAACTCACAGAGATCTGCCTGCCTCTGCCTCCCGAGTGCTGGGATTAAAGGCGTGCACCACCAATGCCCGGCTTAGTCCAGTCTTTTCTAATTCTGTACTCTGTTTTTTTTTTATTATTATTTGTATGGTTGTGAGCCTTATCCTTTAATGGCTGAGCCATCTCTCCAGCCCTGTACTCTGTTTTTTAAAGTAAATTTATTCTTTGACAGTTTCATACATGTTTATAATTTTGCCATCTGATTATTCTAATCCCCCATGCTCTCTTACATTCCTTCCTGTTGTGGAATATTAGTTTAAGATGTGCCACATCCATTTATGCTGTGAAATATTTGTTTAACATTGCAAAGATGTGTTCCATCCTTTTCTGTTGGATGTGTTTAACTCTAAAGCTGTGTTACTTTTCCTGTCTAAAGCACCTGATTGGTCTAATAAAGAGCTGAACAGCCAATAGCTAGGCAGGAGAGGAATCTGCAGGGCTGATAGGCAGAGAGAATTAATAATAGGAGAAATGTGATCTTGAGAAAAGATCAGGAGAAGAGGGAAGAGTGAGAAAAGGAGAAGGAGAGGAGTATGCCAGGGGCCAGCCACCCAACCACACAAAGAGCCAAGGAGTAAGAAAGTAAGAAAGACATACAGAATCAAGAAAAGCAAAAAGCCCAGAGGCAAAATGTAGAAGAAGAGAAATGGGTTAATTAGTTAAGTTAGAAAAGCTAGCTAGAAACAAGTCAAGCTAAGGCCAGGCATTCATAAAAATACATCTCTGTATTTATTTGGGAGCTGGGTGGTGGGCCCCCAAAGAGTAAAGAGTAAAAAAACCAACTATACCTTCTACTCTGTCAACTTCCCCTTCCTGCCAATAATTTCCCCTCCCACTTTCATGTCTTTTTGTTGTTTTGTGACCCACTGAATTTAATGAAGGCTGCCCCCATGAACATGGATGGAGCTAATGCTGGAGCATGGCTACTACAAACTACAATGACTCTCTCTCCCTGCAGCAGCCTTCACCAGCCAGTGAAGGGGGAGGGGCGAGGCTCCATGAGTCCCCAGATATTACCAGGTGTTGCACAGTCCCAGTGCAGGCAGTCTCAGCTGCTGTGCATTTGTGATTGCGGCAGCCATGTCGGGTCCAGTAGATAGTTTTTCACAGACTTCCTTCTCCTCTCCTGGATCTTATATTCTTTCCGCATCCTCCTTTGCTATGTTTCCTGAGCATTGGACAGGATGATATTTATGTCCTATTCAGGGATGAGCACTCAATAGTCACTAATTCTTAGCACCTTAAGCCATGAATTTTTGTTGTTCATTGCTAAAAGAAGCTTATCTAGTCAAGGCCGAGAGAAGCACAGTCTATGGGTATGAACATAAATAGGAGACTGTTTTAATATGTCTATTTAGCAAAACAAAAGTAGGTTCACTCAAGGCTTAAGACCTCTGTAGCTGTGAGTCTTTGACCAGGAACACAGTACCAGAAATGAATTCCTTGTAGAATGGGTCTGAGATACAACCAGAAAGTGGTTGGTTACTATCACAATAGTTATGCCACTATTGTACTAATAGGCAGGTCTTACCTGAAAGGTTGGTATTGTAAGATGCAGGGTCCACTGATGGGTAAAACTTTGTTTGTTTGTTTGATTTTTTTTTTGTTTTTGTTTTTCAAGACAGTGTTTCTCTGTGTCCTCGAACTCACAGAGATCCGCCTGCCTCTGCCTCCCAAGTGCTGGGATTAAAGGCATGACCCACCACCACCCAGCAGGTAAGACTGTTATACTTTGTTCTTTGATAATTTATCTTTGTGTAACCAGTGCTGAGTCTTGCACCATTTTCAAAGTGTATCTTTTTTGTGATTGTCATCTTGGTGTGTAAGGTCACAAGAGTTCCTGAATTTTTTTTTTTGTGTGTGTGTGTACTTAGGGCCAGGATTTAGTGGGGATACTTCCCAGGAAATGTTGGCAAGGGGAAGAAAGATTGTGACACCTGCTCTCCTTGTCAACCTGTGGAGAGGCAAGGCTGGGTCTGGGTGATTTGCTATCTCCAGGAGAGAGGGTCTACTCCCACATTTTGTCCTTTCCTGTAGGACAAGCCTGGACATTGAGATCAGCAGATCACTGCTCCATATGTCCAAATTGGGTGTCAGCAATTTTATAAGATGGGAAAGCAGTTGTCTAGGTCTAGGCTTGGGGGACATGGGGGCCTGAAGGGAATTTGTAGTTCTCTGGCTTAGAGAAATAGAACTAATGAAATTGTGGAAAGTCATGGATGTAGACTGTCCCAGGAGATCAAACCCCCAATATTTGTTGGGGTGTGTTTAGGGAACACAAGGCCAAGTTCCAGGGTTATTTCTGTCCTGCTATTTTTGTTCCTGGCCATGCTCACTGTGGTGCTTTGGATGAAAATGCAGCGCCCTCACCATAGGCTCATATATTTGCATGCTTAGTCCCTAGTTGATGAATTGTTTGGAAAGAACTAGGAGGTGAGTTCTTGTTGGAGAAGGTGTGTCTCTGGGAGTGCAAAAGCCCTGAGCCCCCGCCCCGCCCCCCTGCCTATGGATAAGGATGTAAAGTTGTCAGCTGTTGCTCCAGCTCCATGCCTGTCTGTTTCCTGCCATGATGATCATGTACTAACCCTCTAAAACTGTAAGCGAGCCTCAAACTAAAGCTTTCTTTTTATAAGAGTTGCCTTGGTCATGGTGTCTCTCCACAGCAATAGAACAGTGACTAAGACATTCACCAAGTCAGGAGATGAGTCCATGGGCTCAGATTTGACAGACACACCAGGACATGTGAGCCACAGTCACTGTCAGTTCCCACTTGGCATCTGGTTTCTCTCTGCATGTTAGGCAAGAGTCAGAGGAGGGCCCGTGAAGGATGGGAGGCATCCCCTCCAAGGCTCAGACTGAGCAGAAGTCAGGACTGGAGTTGGAGGTCTGTGGGACCTTAGTGTCTGGGAGGCCAGGCTGCAGAGGCCCAAGCAGACAGGAGCGTCTGTGAAGAGACCGGTGTGGAATCTTCCTGGGAAAGAGCTGCTGAGAGCTCCCGCAGGTGAAGTCCACCTTGTGGGAATCCCTCTTGGGAGCCTGGTCTGTAAGGACACCTGTCTTCATTCTACAGCTTTTTAGGGGGAGTTGTTTTGCTTTTTCTGCTGAGTTTTAAGACTTTATTGCCTTGGGCAGTCCCCCAGCCCTTAGGAGCTCTTGTCCCACACAAATGAGGCCAGCTCCTTCAGTCTCTGGCTACCTGGCCAATCAGGAACAGAGATCTGTCCTCAAGGCTACATTTATGATCTTCCCCCACAGTATGGACTGCACCTGTCCTTTGTAGTCACCTGCTACCCTCCAGGATACTTCCCTGTGTCATTTCAGAATCACATGGTCTGGCCTTCTCAGTCTCCCTGTGAGTAATGCCTCCAGGGGCCAATGCACTGGAGCTCACAGCCTCCTGGAATGGCCTTCTGCTTCACCTCCCACTAGCATCTTAAACAGTGATCTTGCTTCTGTCCTTGTGCCCAGAGAGGCTGGCACAAGTGGACACTTACTATAGGCTTGTCCAGTGGTGACCCAAGAAGATGGACGATGTCTTCTCATTGAATCACTATTGGTAATTTGGTTATCAGTCACCAGATGGTGAATGTGCCCAGGTCCTGGAAGTAGAGCTGCCGGCAGGCTGTGGCAAAGCTTGGCATGGCTGCCTTGGCTTCAAAGGGGGGAATAATGTCTCCCTGTCTGTTTCAGAATGATCTCAGGGAAGACAAGGCTAAGACTGGTCAGATCCTGAGAAGCTAGGAAAGGGAGGCACACCTCAGAACAGTTAGCCATAATCTCTTCTGTTATTGGAGGTAGCGGTGGTCCATGGCTTTCTCCATACCTTCTCAGGGAACTTCTTCCTGTCTCAGGCAAACTCCCAGTACTTTTAAAGAGTTCTGGCTTCTTTCCAACAGCACTTCCCTTTGTACAGGCCTTTCTAACACTTGTACCACAGTCACTAAGCCAGGGCATGCCCTTCTGGTGTTCAACATTGAAGGGGACCTGTGTTTGGGGGAGGATCTGAGTCTGCTCTCAGTCATGGAGTAGTGGGAAGCTCTTAGTAGCTGTGGTCAGTACTGTGCATTTTCAGTTGAGATACTTCAAATGGGCCTCCTCTCCAAGTTTACTTTTTCTCTTCCTCTGAGGCTGTCACAGACCTGCCTCAGCTTCACAGATTTTCTAGTCTATCCACTCTCTCATACAAGATGAGGCATCTCACCACAAGGAAAGCTTCCTTTCAAATTTCTCACACAACTATGCGTTTCATAAGCAATAGTATTAATGGAATGGTGTTAAGGTCAAAACACGGGACCTGGAACAAGCCAAGATAGGTCACATGTCCTCAACAGGCTAATTAAAGAGACAAAGTATTCCTGGAATACCAGGACTCTGAAGCTGGATGGGCCCAGAGTCCTAGAATAGAACCCAATACGACTGGAGAAAAAAAAGTCAATGTAATGATGCCTAACATATTCTGCTATACTCATAGATTGGTGCCTAGCCCAATAGTCATTAGAGAGGCTTCATCCAGTAACCGATGGAAACAGATGCAGAGACCCACAGTCAAACATTAGGCCAAGCTCCGGGAATCCTACCTCTTCAATAAGGAGGAAGGATTGTAGGAACCAGAGTGGTCAAGGACTTCACAAGAAAACCCACAGAATCAAATAACCTGGGCACATAGGAGCTCATAGATGCTGAACTGACAACCAGGAATACTGCATGGGACTGACCTAGGCCCTCTGCATATGTGTGACAGTTGTGTAACTGGGTCTTCTTGTGGGACTCCTAACAATGGGAACAGGGGTTGTCTTTGACTCTTTTGCCGGCTTGGAACATACTCTTCATACTGAATTGCCTTGCCCAGCCTAATTCAAGGCGAGGTGTTTAGTTGTACTACAACTTTGTATGCCATGTTTTGTCTATATCCATGGGAGGCCTATCCTTTCCTGAACAGAAATGGAGGAGTGGATGAGGGGAGTGCAGAGAGGAGGTAGGGAAACTGTGATCAGGATGTAAAATTTAAAAAAAAAAAGATTATTTACTTGAAATTTAAAATCTGAAATGTGATATTTAATAATAAAATTTTACTTATATTACTTATTAGAAATAAAATGCCTGCCTTCCCAAGGGTGGGGTAAAAGAGACAAAGTAATAGTGAAAAGCAGAAAAATAGAGGTTTGCTTACTGTGGTTACACTAGGAAGAGAAGCAAAGAGCTCAAGTGGCTTTCTAAGTCCATATTTGGGGTCCTAACACGAGGCTTAGGTTAGGTAGAAGGCAATAGGCACACATAGCTCAGTAGTGAAGGTGTGGTCCAACTTGTCATCTTTATCCCAGCTCCAGTCCTCTGAGAAGTTATCTGACAAGCTGTCAGAACTGTGGGGAATCTCTTTTCTGGGAGGCTGATTGATCATTTGGGTGTCTTTGTTTCAGTAGGCAAAGGGAGGGGGCACAAGGTGTCTTTAGAATGTCTTAATTCCCGTTGGAAAGGTTATAATAGGGGCTTGGTAATCCCTATAATAGATATTTAGGACTGGGAAGTTGTTCTGCTTGATAATCTATCCATACTGGTAGGTCCCTGCCACCATGCCCTCCCTATAGATGAGTCAGAGCCCTTTAAGACCCTGGTGGAGATAGCAAGCTCTAAACACAGAAAAAGGACATATTGGACTAATGTGTTCACATATTAATAGTGGGTCCTCAGAAACTGCTTTGCATTTGGACCCTCAAGGTAACTAAAGGCAAGATGAAAGTCTGGCTTGCAGCTTACATCTGTTTCCTTTGCTTTGGGTCACTGTCACCTCTGCACACAGACATGATAATCAGTTAAGGGGGATCTGTCCGAGAGTTGGGAATACTTACCTCCTCTTTTTCAAGGTTCAGACCACAAAGGTAAGAGGAAGGCACTTATGGCCTGCTCTTCACTACATTCTTTTGTGAATATCCAGAGGCATCTAAAAGTCTCCAGGTACTGGCCTAAACAGTCGTGGATTCTGGGAACAGCAGAGCTTCACAGTGCAGACAAGCCCTTGGGTGAGGCCAATTATCTATGATGGCGAGGCTGTTCTGGTCCTCCTGAGAACCAGATGTTCTCTCAAGCAACAGAGCCTTCCTAGGAACACCTTGCAGAACAAGACCTGAGACAGTGATGGACCAGACTGCACCTTGACTGGCTCTGCTGAGTTCTTCACGCCTAGCCTCTTCCTGGTTCTTTTTTAAGGTAAACAGACATAGGGTCACCTGACCCCTGTGTCCATTCCTTTCTCCATTGCACACACTGATTAAATCTTGCTCTCTACTCTTTATCACTACTTAGTTCTTTAATTGGTATATGACGTTGGGTGGCCAAACCTAATTCTTTGGGACTAGGACTCCGGGAACTGGGTCTTTTGCCCGGAAACTCTATTTACATTTTTAACATACAGGATAGACAGCTAATTTCCATAATATATCAAGAGCTTTTATTATAAAGAAAAAACAACAGTGAATAGAAGAGTGGAGAAAGACAATGAAGTGTCAGAAGAAGTAGAAATGACCATTCAGCAAGTAATAGTTTGAAAATTTGCTAATTGGTATAAATTGCCCCCCCCCCCATATTCAGATAATAAAACATGCTCTCCAGTGTGGAGGCCATTGGAAGCGCATCCTATGGGGTGTAAAATCACATTTGAGTGGAGGGCTCATGAGTGGGATTAGTGGCTATGATGTTTTGTATTGGTATCAACTTGACAGGGTCTAAAATCACCTTAGAGACAGATCTCTGGTCATGTCTGGGAGGGTATTTTCAAGTTCAGTTCATTGAGGTGTAGATGGCACCATTTCGTGGGGTGGAGTCCTTGACTGTCACAAGGAAAGTAGTAAACTTAGGAATTGTTCACAGGAAGCCAGGAAAGCTCCATCTTCAGATGTGTAAGGGCAGAGTGAGGGGGCTGTTGGGGAAACAGAATCTGTGCATTCCAGCTTCTGATGCTTTGATGATTTCCCAGAGTGTGAGAAAGCAGTCTGTTGCCCAGAATTCCTAACCTGCATAGGCTATCCTGTTATCACTTGTGAATCGGAGATGAGTCGGGGAGATAGGTTGGTCCAGGAAAGGAGCTGACACAAATGAGTTTGGTTAGAAGGGAAAGCCTGATCCCATCAGGAAGTGGGGGAGCATTAGGAGAATTACAGGATCATCTCAGAGACAGTGTAAAGGGGCCGGCCGGCTGTCTCCACCTCTGCACTGTTCTTAGCACTATTGTCTTCCAGGCACCTACTAGAATGACCAGCTAAGTTGTTTAGAGCAGTCAACCACTTTTCTAGTCCAAACTTCCTAAGCCTTCCACATTCCTCCAAAAAACATGGTCAAGTTCTCCACAGCAGTACCCCCTCTTTTGTATTGATGACTTCTGTGTTAGATGTTTTTCTGTTGCTGTAATAAAAACATCATGACCAGAAGTAACTTAGGGAAGAAAGTGTTGATTTTGGCTTCTGGCTCCTAAGGAAGAGTCCGTAATGGAGCAGGAGGCAGAGGCAGTCGGTATCTGGAACAGCAATCTGAGGCGATCAAATCCTCAACCTCATACAGAAAACTGAGAGTGAGCTACAAGTGGGGAAGGCTACACCCTCAAAGCCTTTCTCCAGGGATGTGCTTTCTCCAGCAAGGCTCTTCATCTGAAAGGTTCCATAACCTCCCCTAACAGTACTGGTAACTGGGGACCAACAGTTCAATTCCACTAGCCTGTGGGAGACATTCTCACTCAAACTGGGTGGCTTCTGCCCTGAGTCACACAGAGTTGCTGAATGTGAGTCCCCTCTGATTTCTGGAAGTCTCACAAAAACCTGACTGGCTTTGAGGCTTGTGAGGACTGTGGATTTACTTTTTTTTTTTTTTTTTTAAACCAGGGAAGCTTCCTTTACATTCGGAGGAGTCTGTTTACTCTTTCCCTGCCAGAGAGCCATGCTGCTGGGTCTGTGGTTAGGTTGGCCAGTTTCCATGGGGTACCTGTCTTTTCCTTCATACTTTTCAGGTATCTTAACACCATCTTGGTGCATTTGAAAACTCGTCCTGTCTCTTTCTCTTCAGAATTGACTATTCTCCTAGTGAGGATCTGAGGATCACATAGAGACGTTTGGTCTGCCATTTTACTCAGGGGTTCTTGACTTAAATCAGTCAGCAGTATGCTACCAAATCCACTACTAAATAATAGGAAATTTTAGATGTTTGGACCTGAAGCACCAAGAGATTGGAAACAGAGACTTTCCTTTTAAGATATGTAGGGTATTGGGGCATCTTACCTAGCTCCCCTGAAAATTGAGATGATGTGGCTAGAACTCCTGGTGAGTACAGGAGTCCGGAATGTGTTACTTACGGGGATCTGGGAAAGGGATCAGGGGCTAAGAATGAAATGAAGGGCAACTGATACTTCACGAGTGTTTTATAAATGCTGTAGGGATATTATCTTCACTTTACAGTTGAGGAAATTGGTATTTAGAAAATTTTGTCTCTGGTGTCAAACAGCTGATAATTGTTAAAACAAGAACACAAATCAGTTTTACAGTGGTTTTCAGGGGTCAGTCTTTATCTGTGATACTGATTGAATTTTCATAAATCATAGTTTTGATTCTTGTAACTCTGGACCGCACGCCCCCACGCCATCCAAATAGGTTCCTTGTAGCCCACCAATCAATGTTTGACTTTTGGGCAATTCTGAGAGAAGCCATAAGATGGCGACATTGCATGCCTTGTGGCTCAGCATGTCTGGTCCTGGAAGTTAGGTGTCATACTGTTGCATGCTAAGCTCTGGTAGCTGTTTTTCACCTCATTTATTTCATCTGCCCAGCAGATTTTCAAAGGAACTCTTCATTTTCCACCAAGGATCTGTTTAGGATTATACAGTTTAGTAGTAGAAGTGGAAAATGAATTAATTTGTCTGGATCCCAGGTGCCTCGAGACTAAGCCCCTCAGGGGAGACAGACAATGGAGAACTAACATGGGTAAAGCTTGGGACAGTGGAGAATGTAGAAATGTCTTCCATTGTAATATTGTAACCCTAACCTGAGCCTTACCCCAATGGACCCTGAGCAGTACCTACTTCTTTCCCAAGGCCATTGAAAGGAAGGGTTAAGAGTTGCAGGTAGAAATCAATACAGTTAGACTTAATTCTTGTGAATTCCACAATAGTGCTATTGTATTGGGAAGCAAGCATTTTCTTCTGCTTTAGAACAAATTGCCTTTTCCTCCTATAAAATAGGGACATGTTATAGGAGGAAATTCCTATCTATACCTATTGATTAGTGCAGCTCTCACACCTCATCAGAGAAGTTTCATTGTGCAGTGAACAGCGGTCAATGTAGAAACTCACAACTGAAATGCAAGGGATAAGTCTGTTGGGTGCTCAGCAAAAGGCACATCTATACCCCTCCCCCAAGGTTCAAGAATCACTGTAGAAGAGAGAGAGCAGAAAGAGTGTAAGAGCCAGATGTCAGGGAAGAGCAGAGGAAAACAATGTCTTCTGGATACAACTGGACTACTGTGTTCATGAACACACAGCAGCTGTGGTGGCTTGCACAAGAACTGTACAAGATCAAGCCAGTGAATAGCTCAGCACAGAGTGAGAAGGGGCTCGTGAGCCCCCACTCCTAGCTGAGGAACTATTGATAGCTGCTAACATCTAGGGAGAAGGGGAGAGTCAGCTGTCTTTGAGGGTGTATGGACCCTGGTAGCATGACCGTGCTTAAGTGAATGGTCTCACATCCGAGAGTATATGGACAGCACAGTGGATGAAGGCCCTGGGCAGAGGTATAGATTCAGCTAGTGTTATAGTGGAAGCTTCACCCCAGCCCCTGGCATCCATATACCCAAAGAGCCTGGGATGTTATAGTGGAAGTTCCCACCTAAGTCCCCCTCCCCTATCTCCCTTCAAACCCTGCTGCATCTCAGAAGCCCATCTTCCCCAGAGATGCTCAAGACTACTCTCACAGGGTATCTAAACTGCCCCCAGAGAAAAGATGTGTGGCTTTTTGGTCTCTCTTTTCCATCTCCTCTCTGGGGTGAGGGGGGAGCTGGAAGGCCATCTGGGAGCATTGTATCCCTTAAATGTGGGCTTTAAAAATTCGGTTTGATTTGGTCTGATTTGGATTGCTGAAAGAATTATCAGGGTGTAAAAACTTTTTGGCCAGTAATACACCAAAGCAACAACTGCATCAAAGTCCAACTTGGTGAACCAGTGAGTTTTTACTGGGGTTACCGACAGCAATTTTGGTGAGGAGTTACTTGCAGCTGCATTATCCAGAATCCCACACCAAAGTGGGTGGTGACCCAGGAAAGTTGCATCCCTGCAGCTCTCTGCACAACCTGGAAGTAGGTCTACAGGTCCACAAAGTCTCTTTTCAGCAGCTCAGTTATCAGTCTCCTCTCCCAGCTGTGTTTACTGCTTTTGTACTTCTGCCCAGGGCCTCTTGTAAATCTTGGTAGTGGGGGGGTTGTATGTTCAGCTATCCCAGACAGAAGATGAGTGTTTATGTCCTGAGTCTCACTATCCTCCTTCTCTCTCCTGGAAGTACTGTTTCAATTCAGAGGAAACTGCTATACAACAAGCATTTGTCCAGTAATAGATATTTTCTTCAAGGCAGCACAAATGGACTAAGGCAGGGTCTTTTGAAATTCCATATGTATTTTAAATGTATTTTTTTTCTGGAAAAATAACTGAATTTTGTTAGATGTTACCCTGAATTTGTGTATCTATTTTGATTGCATTGACATCTACACATCATTACGTCTTTCAATCCTAGAACAACAGAACTGAGAGAATGAATATCTATCTATCTATCTATCTATCTATCTATCTATCTATCTATCTATCCATCCATCTAAAGGGGATTTATTAGAGAGACTTACAGGCTGTGGTCCACCTAGTCCAACAATGGCTGTCTAGCAACTGAAAGTCCAGGAATCCTGTAGTTGCTCAGTCCATGAGGCTGGACATCTCAGCTGGTCTTCAGTATACAGCAGAATCCTGAAGAAGTGGCTCTGATGCCAGTGATGGAATGAACTTGCCAGCGAGGGCAAAGAGTAAGCTTCCTTTTCCCGTGTCCTTCATACAGGCTGCCAGCCGAAGGTGTGGCCCAGATTCAAGGTGGATCGTCCCACCTCAAGAGATCTGGATTAAAGGTGGGTCCTCTCACTTCAAATGATTTCATTAAGGAAAAAAATCCCTCATAGGTGTGCCCAGCCACTTGGGTTTTAGTTAATTTTTCTTATAATCAAGTTGACAACCAAGAATAGCCATCACACTCCACAATCATAAAATTTTAAAGATTTCTCCATTTACTTTTTCCTCTTTAATTTATTTAGCATTTCATGCATCTTCAGTGTTCCATTCTTTCATTGCCTTGTTTAAGCTCATTTTTTTGAGTAATACTGATTTCATGGTAAATATCATTGTTTACTTGATTTCTTTTTCATATAAATTTTAGGCCATAGAAATAACTGGTTGCCCTTTAGCACAGGAGGTAGCATGACAGTCTCATAGAAACAACTGATTTTTGTCAGCTCATTTCTTATTCTGCAACTTTACTGAATTCATTGATTAGTTGTATTAGGCTTCTTTAAAATGCAAATATTTTAGCATTTTCTACACACAAAAGGGTGTCATATGCAAAACCAGATAATTTCATCCCATTCTTTCTAATTTGAATGAATATTATGTTTCTTGACTAATTGTATGTACAATAAATACCCAGTGCTATGTTTAACAGAAATGGAAAACAACAGTAATAGCAGCAACAACAATGAGAGTTCTTAAAATTTAGATAGAGAAGTAGACATTGAAGTAGAAAAGGCATTAGAATTCCAAATCAGACAGAAGCACGACCAAGGAACCTCTCCATGTGTGCTGTAATTAGGATGTCAAAACAACAAGACAAAGGAAGAATGTAGGAGAAAAATACCAATTTCTCTACAAAGGCAAACCCATCAGAATAACATCCTAACATCTAAAATGTAGGAAAGCATGGGATAATATATTTAAAACCTTGAAAGTAAATGATCACTAAGCTAGATTGCTATATCCAGAAAAACTATCTTTAAAAATTGATGGTGAAGTGAAGACTTTTAAAACAAGCACAAATAAAACCATTTATGACCACCAAGAATTACTGTAGAAAATGTGTAAGGAATCCTAAGCATAGAGGAGAAAAGAAGATAACCTCAATCATGAGAGCACTGAACAAGAATTCATGAAGGGACTAGATGAACAAAGGAGATCTAAGAAAGAATCCAGCATGTTGAACACTATTCAGTCAACCCTTAACACTAACAGTGGAGAAAGGAAAAAATAAACAAAATACAACCAACCAGAAAAGTCATCAACAAAATGATAGGAATTAACATCTCTCAACAATAACCTTAAGTGTAAATAACCTCAACTCAGCAACAAGGAGATGCAGATTGGTAGACTAGATTAAACAATAGATCCACTGTTTCTCCTCTAGAAATACCCCTCACTGGTAAAGACACTGAGACTGAGGGTCAAAGGATAGAAGTCAGCCTGTCATGAGAATGGAAGACATAAAACAAGCCGGCTTAAGTCTTCTAACTATAAAAAAAGTAGACTACAAACCCAAATTAGTCAAAAGAAATGAAGAATTCCCCTTAATATTAATGATGGGAACTGTTAACTAGGAAGCTATAGCAATCATGTATATATTATAATTACACACATATATATAATTATATATATTATAATATATATAATTACAAAATATTTTATGTACATTATATAACAAATTATATATCATATATTAATATATAATTATATATGTGATTTCTATATTTTTCTGATATACATATAATGTGTACATATATGTATGTATATATGAGAGCAAAAAATATATATATATATATATATATATATATATATATAACAAAATACAACCAACCAGAAAAGTCATCAATAAAATGATAAGAATTAACATCTCTCAACAATAACCTTAAGTGTAAATAACCTCAACTCAGCTCTCAGTTTCATAAGAGAAACATTAATAGATATAAAATGTCAATTAGTCATCATAGTGGATGATTTCAATACCATACTCTGTAGTGATATATTGTTTATGATTTAATAAAGCTTGCCTGGGAATCAGAATGCAAAGCTAGCCACACTAATTAGCCATAGACAGCAGGCAGTGATGGTACACACCTTTAGTTCCAGGACTCAAACAACACAATATTCAATAATGAATCAATAAGGAAATAAAAAAATTCCTAGACTCAAATGAAAATAATCTTCCATAAATAGAAATAAAAAATCTCCCAATTAAAAGGAGTCTGGGTCTAACTGGTGAATTTATCAGGCCTTCAAAGGATTAATACCAATGCTTCTCAAACTATTCTACAGAATAGGAAAGGAAGAAACATTACCAGACTCTTTAATGAAATTTTCATTACCTAAATACCAAAAGATAAAGATTCACCAAAATAAGAAAGTTACAGACCAATTTCCCTGACAATATTAGACAGTGCTTGCAAGTCAGATTCAAAAACACATCAGAAAGGTCATTACCAAATTATCCTAGAAATTCAGGCATAACTCAGAATATAATAAATCAATAAATATTATAAATGAAATAAATCGGCTCATGGACATAAATCACGTAGTCATTTTGGTAGATGTAGAAGAGGCTTGTGACAAGATCTAATATATATCCCTTGATATTAAAAGTCCTGAAGAAACATTGGAGAGGAAGAAAATATCTCAACATAATAAAGGCTATATATGATAAATTTAGGTAACCTGATATTAAATGGGGGAAAACTGAAGGAGTTTCCATTAAAAATCAGGAACAAGACAAATGCGAACACTTCCCCACTCTTACTCAATATAGTCCTGAAGTATTACAGTAATAAGGCAAGAAAATAGAAGGGTTACAAATAAGAAAGGAGAAAGTCAAAACATCTCTATTTGTAGCTGATACTATTCCACACATAAGAGACCCTAAATACTCCACCATAAATCTTTTAGAATTGATAAACACTTTCGGCAAAGTGGCAGGACATGAAACTGACACACAAAATTGGCATCCCTATATATCAATGAAAGACAAACTGAAAAAGAACTCAGGGAAGCAATGTTATTCACACTATCCCCAAAACTACATCATTGGAGTAAACTCAACCAATGGTATAAAAGACCTTTATGATGAAAACTTTAAAACACAGAAGAAAGAAATAGAGTTAGACACTGTAAGATGGAAAGACTTCCTATGCTTACAGTTTGGAAGAAGACAATATTGTGAAGATGGCCATCTTACAAAAAGCAATGTATAGATTCAGTGCAACCCTGATGAAAATTCCTTTGTGATTATTCACAGATATAGAAAAAACAATTTTAAAATTCATATGAAACATAAAGGACCCTTGGATAGCCAAAGCAATTCTGAGCAAGAGAAATACTGCTAGAGGTATAACTGATTTCAAGTTATAAAACAGAGCCATAGTAATAAGAACAGCATGGTTCAGGATCAAAACCATACAACTACAACTACTCAATTTTTGACAAAGATGCCAAAAATACATACAGGAGAAAAGCAGCATCTTCAACAAATGGTGTTAGGAAAATTGGACATCTACATGTAAAATATTGGAACTTATTCCTATTTCTCATCATACACAAACATGTACTCCAACTGGATAAAGGACCTCAATGTAAGACCTGAGATGCTGAAACTGCTAGAAGAAAAAGTAAGGAAAATACTTCAAGATATAGTTATAGGTAAGGGCATTTTGAATAGATTCTGATCTCTCAGGAAACCAGGTCAATAATCGGTAAAGATATTATAAAATTAAAAAGAGATCTTATAAAATTAAGAACTTTTGTATAGCTATGGAAACTGTGTCAATCACGTGAAATGACAGCCTACAGAATGAAAGAAAATATTTCTCAGCTATATGTATCCAACAAAGGATTATGTGCTAGTTAGATTTCTATTCCTGTGACCAAAAGCAACTTGGGGGAAAAAAGAATTTGTTTTAGCTTACAGTTGTAGTCCATTATGAAGGGAAGTCAGGACATGGACTCAAGACAGGAACCTTGAGGCAGGAACTGAAACAGAAGCCATAGAAAAACACTGCTTAATGGTGTTTTCCTCATGGAGTTCCCTGCCTGCTTTCTTATACAGTCCAGGACCACCTGTTTACAAATGGTACTACCACAGTGAGTTGGGCTTTTCCTCATCAATCAGTAATCAAGAAAATGCTCCACAGATTGCTTACAGGACAAGCTGATAGAGGCAATTCATAAACAGAGATTTTATCTTCCCTGACATGTCAGCACAGACTGATATCAAGAATATATAAAAGAAACTCAAGAAAGTAAGCATCAAGCAAATGATGGGCCATAGAACTGAACAGAGAGTTCTCAAAAGAAATAATGCAAGTGACTAATACACATTTCAAAAAATGTTCAATATCAACAGCCATCAGAGGAGTACAAATTAAATCTGCTTTGGGAGTCTATCTTATCCAAGACAGAATGATTAATTATCAAGAAAACACATGACAGAAAACGCTGGCAAGAATAACCCTTGCCTACTTTTGGGAGTTTGAGTTGGTACAGCTACTACAGAAATCAATGTGCAGCTTCTCCAAAGAGCTTAAAACAGAACTATCATATGACACATTGGTGCTATTCTTATAGCTGAAGGACTCAATATTTTCCTGTAGAGATATTTATACATCAATGTTCATTGTTCGTTTGTAGCCGGACATTTTTGTTGGATATTCTTTGAACTTCCAGGCCCTCAAATAATGACATGGAGACATTATTACTATCTAGGAAAGATTGGACTTTAGCTTAGGCTTGTTCCCAACTAGCTTTTATAACTTAAATTAACTTATTTCTACTAATCTGCATTCTGCCATGTGGCTAGTTACCTATTTTCCATAATGTATGTTCAACTTGGTGTCTTGCTGGTATCTACTGTGTGCCTAGATTCTAACCCCGAGTTTCTCTCCCCCACCCAGAAGTCCCACCTAACTTCTCCTGCCTAGCTATTGGCTGTTCAGCTTTTTGTTAAACCAATCACAATGACACATCTTCACACAGTACAAACAAATATCCTGTAACACTCCTTTTCACAACAGCTAGGAAATGGAATATGCTTATATATCTA